GCCGGCCCCGGGCCGCAGGCCCCCGGCCAGCCCGCCGCCGCCTCGCCTCTTTCCAGTCTTCTTGTGCTCGTCTTCCACACCACGTCCGGGTGCTTCTGCTTGTACTTGTGGGATGGTCATTACGTGGATATATGCTTTTTGTTTGGTTTTTACTATTTTACTGATATCTTGGTTTTCATTTTGTTAAATTGCAGTGCAGGTGATTTACAATGTGGTGGTAGTTTCCGGTGTACAGCATAGTGATTCTGTCATACAAACATATATACACATATTGTTTTTCAGATTCTTTTTCATTATAGGTTATTACAAGCCATTGAATGTAGTTCCCTGTGCTATACAGTAGGTCCTTGTTGTTTATCTATTTTATATATAGTAGTTTGTATTTGCTAATACCAAACTCCTATTTATCCCTTCCCCATCCCCTTTCCCCTCTGGTTACCGTAAGTTCGTTTTCTGTATCTGTGAGTCTGTTTCTATTTTGTAAATAGGTTCATTTGTCTCATTTTTTTAGATTCCACATGTAAGTGATATCATATGATATTTGCCTTTTTCTGTCTGACTTATTTCACTTAGTATGATAATCTTCAGGTCCATCCGTGTTGCTGCAAGTGGCATGATTTTATTCTTTTTTATGGCTGAGTAGTGTTACACTGTATGGATACATGCTTTTATCTCTCTTAGATAAATACTAAGAGTGGAATTGTATGGACTGAACCGTCAGTATATAGGCTTAACATGTTAAGAAACTGCCGAGCTATTCTCTAACATGTTTGTACCACTATACGTTCCTGCCGCTCATGAACACTCACTCCAGCTCGTTCAAGTCTTCTTGAACAGTTGCTATGGGGTTTTAAAAATTTTAGCCTTTCTGATAGGTATGTAGTGGTATCTTATTGTGATATAACTTGTATTTCTCTGATGACTAGTGACTGGAGCATTTTTCATGTGCTTATTTGCCATCCATGTAATCATCCTTTTTTATGCGTCTGTTCGCTTATCTTATATCCTTTTTAATGGGATTGTTTGTTTTCTTCCTGTTATTGAGTTGAGAATATATTTGTGTATTCTGGATCCAAGTGTTTTGTCAGATATTTATATTGCACATATTTTTTCCTAGTCTCTAGCTTGTGTTTTAATTTCTTAATGTGTCTTTTGAAGAAGGCACCTTTTTAATTTTGATAATACCCTATTTATCAAGTTTTTATAGTTTGAGTTTTTATTTCCCATGTCAGAAATCTTTACCTAACCAAAGCTCACAAATATTTTCCCCTCTCTTTCCTTCTAGAAATTTTTTAATTTTAGGTTTTACATTTAAGTTTGTGATCTATTTTGAATTAATGTTTGTATGTGAATTGAGGTTCACTGTGTTGCATATTAATCGGGCAGATAGTCCCTGCACTATCTGTTCAAAGGATTATCTTTTCTCCGTTTAATTATATTGGCACCTTTTCTTTAAAAAAACATAAATTTTTGATCATACATGTGTGAGTCTATTTCTGGACTTTTTGTTGTGTTCAGATGATCTATATCACAATTAATACCACAGTGTCTTAAATACCGTAGAATTATAGCTAAGTGTTGAAATTTAGGTAGTATGAGTCCTTCAACTTTGTTCTACTTTGTAAAAAATTGTACTGGCTACTCTAGGTCTTTGCTGTTTCTGAGCCTTCCAACCCATGAACATGTCTCTCCGTTTATTTAGATCTCCTTTGATTTCTTTCATCAATATTTTGTATACTTTAGCACTTAAATATCACACATATTTTGTTAGATTTATCCCTAAATATTTCATGTTTTCTGATATTGTTACAAGTATTACTATATCCTAAATTTCAATTTCTAATCATTGCTAGTTGATAGAAACACGGTTGCTTTTAAAAAATGAATCCTGTGTCTTGTGACTTTGCTAACTCACTTACTAGTTCTGGAGTTTTCTTTTTGGGAGACTGAGATTTTGTTCCTGGAAGGCTGTCACCTCTGTGGGTAAACGCGGTTTTATGTTTTCCTTTTCACATTGGATGCCTTTTGTTTCTTTTTCTCGCCTTATTGCACTGGCTAGGACTTTCTGTACAATGTCAGGGAGGAGAAGCACCCAAGAGTCTTTCTTCTTTCTCTGTGACACAACTCATTGGCAAATAGTCTCCCAAGAGGGGAAACGGGCATTTTGTGTTCTGGGCTCTGCCCCTATGACACCCCACCTTCAGAGGCAATCAAGCAGCTCAGTGTGAGGAGCGGGTAGAGTGAATTTTGGTGGTTTGGGGGCTTAGAAGGAGGGTGACTCCACCGTTGTGGTGGCTGTTCATCCTGGAGTGGACCTCCAGTGACTGTGGGTCCCTAGTGGGTAGACCCTAAACTGTGTTTGGGGCAGCCGGACTCAGAAGAGAATGACCATTCTTGCAACTAAGAGGGCGGGATGCTGTGGTAAATAGAGTAAGAAACTCTTCGAATCAAGATGTGGCTTTGAGGGAGTGAAGGCATACCCGGGGCAGTGTGTACCTTCGAAAGTCCCTGCCAGCCTGTGCTTGGGGCAGAGGCAGGACAGCATTTGATGGCAGGTCTGGACGCAGAGATATGGAAGCCCCAGTGGCAGTGGTTTGAGAAACTCCAGGGCTCCCGCCCACTCGGTGGTGGACGTCCAAGGGATCTCTTTTGGGACCGTGTAAGAGCCTGGAGTTTGTGGTTGATCAAGGAGAGGCTAAGAAGCTAAGAGGGTGAAATTGTACTTCCTGCCACTCACACACACAGGGAGTCGGATCAGTTTTAATTTAATTGGGGGAAATGAAATAAATGAAAAATCCTGAAATTCCGGGAGGGATAAATCAGGGGTTGGGGATTAACAGACACATACTGCTATATATAAAATAGATAAACAACAAGGACCTACTGTAGAGCATAGGGAACTGCATTCAATTCTTGTAATAACATATAATGGAAAAGAATCTGAAAAAAAAATACGTATGCATATGTATAACTTTGCTGTACGCCTGAAACATTGTAAATCAACTACACTTTAATAAAATTAAAAAATAGTTGAATTCCATAGTTTAGCATTTGTTTATATTGATTACAGTGAGTTGAGGTCCGAGAAGCTTTTGAAAATTAGGCAGACTGTTTGAACTTTAATTCTGTAGGCAAGACCGGATCATGAAATGTTTTTGAGAAGGGAAACAACTGCCGGGTGAAGTATCCCATGCGCCTGCGTGCTAGCGGCGCGGTGTCGTCGCAGGTGACGGTGTCCGGAAGCATGAAGGCTCAAGCAGGGAAGTCCTGGGCTGGACTGAGAAACCAACCAATAATTTAATTTAATTTTTCAATTAAACTGAGCCTGTTTGGAGTGGAGGAGAAGTTAGAAAGCATCGGGAGAGAGAAAGTCCCGAGTGACACTACCTAAAAAGAACTTTCCCAGCAAGAGTTAAAAAGAGCTGCAAGATCTGAAAATATTCCCACTCTTTCTTATCAGCCTAGAATGCATTTTAGTGGGTAGTTCTTGGCGGTGTCAAGGGAATAGACTTATTGTTCATGCGGAGGGTGGCAGCGCCATTTACCAGGGGGAACTTATTTAAGAACCCACACTCTTGGGCTCCTTCCAAGGCATTGTGAAAGTGCCGTACAGTGTCTGATTACTGTAAAGCGCCTTGTTCCTGCATTTTAGAAACAAAATTTTACCCGGCACACATCCTATTTCACACAGAATTCTCTCTTCTGTTAAATACAGATAAAGAACGCAAGAATACGCATTGCAGAGTGGGAGTTCACCTTGATGTGGGATGAAAATGGGACCTGGTGCTTCTTGCGATCAGGTTCGTGGCAGGATGGGGTGCACATCAAATACGCACCCGAAAGTGCGATCTGATTTGGTTATGTTCTGAGTAGTTTACTGAGGGTGGCAGTCAGTTCTTAGGAATATAAAATGAAGGGACATTCATTTCTTTTCCTCTTCTTCCTCCTTCATTAATTCCTGCTTCTTTAGGAGTGTGGCGTGTACAGGTATTTATGGATAGCGTCGTGACACTACTTGGACATGGCGACACTGTCTTCCCTTAGGAGACACCAGCTCACCCCTTGAGCAGCAGGGGCGTCCTGGGGACTGCACCTTCCTTGTCTGGCATAGAGACGTCAGCGGGTGGACCGGTGTCCGCCTTGATGTGCATTGCGGAAGCCACTAGGACCCTTGTGGGCAGCACGTGTTTTTCTTTTGCCAACTTGTAGCAGATTTACCTCCTTCTGAAAAAAATGCGTAGATTACATTACACACTCCTGAGGCCCATGGACTTTGTCCATGTTACCACGAAGCCATCAGAAGACCGAGGCAGGAGGCTTACTGCTCTGCACACGCTCTTCCTCTTCGACAGGGCGCTGGACGTGCGGCTCACCTTCACCGCTTCCAAGACTGCTTGTGGGTGGAGCAGAAGTCAGGTTTTCCAGCTCTGAAAAAAACATATTCATATAGGCTTGCTGTGGAGATGGAGCTAGTTAACAGTGGTTAACATTAATGAAAGGTAAAAACTGTAAGGGAATAAATAATATTTGCTTGGGAATATCAAGGACTTTTAACATAGCCTAGACTGTGGTCCAGGAACGTGTGAACCAAGTTTGCGTTGCTCTTTAGGTCTTTCCCTGATGCCCGTTCCTGGATAACCCTGTGGGAAATGCTGATCTCGTGCTGAGAACCAGCCCACTTCTTGGTCTGGGAACAGGACTTCCCGTGAGAGTGACTTCTTTAATTTGTCCTCATCAGCTTCTCCCTGGAGCTTTGTGAGCTCTCTTCCTAAACCCACTGTCACCCTTTCCCTTCTCTGGGATGTCTCTGGGACTTGGGGATGTCTTTTTTTTTGTCCTATGCATCTGCCCTTGCTGTCATCACAACTCCTGTTCACTTGCTAGAAATGGTTCTGTTCTTAAGTAGGCCTTGGATCTGGTTTTGTTTTGTGCTAGCTCTGATTTCATGACAGCAGCTGCCTGTCCCACATCAGTTTCCTTTAAAATTGTCAACCACAATTGTGTCACTTCCTGTTTTCAAGCTGATATTCCTTGTAGGAACTGTGACTGAGTTTTGGTTTGGATGCTTTTATACTCAGATAATTTTTTTTTTATTGAAGTAGAGTCAGTTTACAATGTTGTGTCAATTTCTGGTGTACAGCTTAATGTTTCAGTCATACATATACATACATATATCCTTTTCATATTCTTTTTTGGTATAGGTTATTGCAAGGTATTGAATATAGTTCCATGTGCTATCCAGAAGAAACGTGTCGTTTATCTAGTTTATATAGAGTAGTTAGTATCTGCAAATCTTGAACTCCCAGTTTATCCCTTCCCACCCCATCCCCCCTTCCCCTTCCTGGTAACTGTAAGTTTGTTTTCTATGTCTGTGAGTCTCTTCTTTTTTGTAAATAAGTTAGTCTGTGTCTTTTTTTTTTCTTAGACTCCACATGTGAGTGATATCATACGGTATTTTTCTTTCTCTTTCTGGCTTACTTTACTTAGAATGACAATCTCCAGGTATATCCTCACTGTAGCAGATAGCATTATTTTATTCTTTTTTATGGCTGAGTAGTATTCCATTGAATATATATACCACATCTTCTTTATCCAGTCATCTGTTAGTGGACACTTAGGTTGCTTCCATGTCTTGGCTATTGTAAATAATGCTGCTGTGAACATTGGGGTGTATATATCTCTTCAAATTAGAGTCTCTAGATATGTGCCCAGGAGTGGGATTGCTGGATCATAGGATAAGTCTATTTTTATTTTTATTTTTATTTAATTTATTTATTTTGAAGTACAGTCAATTACACTGTGTTCATTTCTGGTGCACAGCACAATGTCCCAGTCATGCATATACATATATATATTTGTTTTCATACTTTTTTCATTAAAGGTTATTACAAGATATTGAATATAGTTCCTTGTGCGATACAGAAGAAATTTGTTTTTTAAAATATATATATATATTTATAAAAATATATATATATATATTTTAAAAAATATATATATATATAGTGGCTTGATTTCTAGAGTTTTATGTAAATGGAATCATGTAGTATACACTGTTTTTTGGTCTGGCTTATTTCATTTGGATTAATGATTTCCGAGATGCAGACGTGCGTGTGTATGTATCATTAGTCTTTTCCCCTTTTTACTGTTGCGTAGTGTTTCATTGACTGGATGAACCATAACTTGTCTATCCGTTCATCTATTGTTGGATGTTTGAGTTGTTTCTAGTTTCAGGTTACTACAAATAAAGCTGCTATAAGCATTCTTGTTCAAGTCTTCGTACAGGTGCAGATCTTTTTTTCTCTAGGGTGTGTGCATATGTGGGATTGGAGTGGCTGAATCATGAGATAGTATATATTTAACTCTCTAAGAAATGCACAGATGTTTCCAAAGTGGTTGCAGTCTTTTCCTTCCCACCAGCAGCTTATGAGAGTTCTAGCTCCTCCACAGTCTCGCTAACACTCAGTGTGCTCTTTTAATTTAAGGCACTTCAGCCATTCTAATAGGTGTGTATGGGTATCTCATGTTTTTGGTTTGCATTTTCCTAGTGGCTAATGATGCTGAGTATCTTTTCATGTGCTTATTCAAGCCACCTATATGTGTTCTTTGGTGAAGTATTTGTTCAAATCTTTCTCCATTTTGGGGGATTACTTGCTCTTCTTTGTTTGTTGTTATTAGCGTTCTTTATGTATTCTGTATACAAGCCCTTTATCAGATATATGCTTTGCAGAGATTGTCTTCCTGCCTGTGGATTATCTTTTTGTTCTCTTAATAGTGTTTTTTTTGAAGACCAGAAATGTTAACTTTTGAAAGAGTCCAATTTTTTGAAATTTTCAGTAACAGACTTATCATATAAGCCACCCATTAAAATTATATAACTCAATGGTTTTTGGTATACTCCCAGAGCTGTGCAGCCATCACCACAACCAGTAGGATTTTTCTATCAGTTCAGAAAGAAGCCCCGCTGGCAGTCACTTCCTGTTTCCCTCCGACTGGAAACCCTTTCCTACTTCCTGTCTCCATAGATGTGTCTGTTGTGAACATTTCATACAAATGACATCATGTAACATGTGGTCTTCTGTGGTTGGCTTCTTTATTGAGCACGTAGTCGAGATTCCTGCATGTTGTAGCGTGTATCAGTACCTCATTTGTTTTTATCACAAAGTAGCATTCAGTCACATGCCACATACCTATTTTCTTTCTTTTTTATTGTGTAAAATACACATACTATAAAATTCACCATCTTTACCATTTTAAAGTGTACAGTACAAATTTCTTAAATAAAGTCACTTTGTTGTGCAACCATCACCACCATCTATCCCCATAACTCTTTTCATTTTATAAATTGAAACTCTACCTATTAATCAATAACTCCCCATTCTCCCTCGCCCCACCCCATCCCCTGACAACAAGCATTACAATTTCTGTCTTTATGATCTTGACTGTTTTAAGTACCTCGTAAGTGGAACCGTACAGTATTTGTCTTTTTGTGACTGGCTTATTTCACTTAGCATAATGTCCTCAGGGTTTATCTGTGTTGTAGCATATTGCAGAATTACCTTCCTTTTTAAGGTTAAGTGGTATTCCAGTACCATGCTGTCTTGATGACTGTAGCTGTGTAGTATTGTCTAAAGTCTGGAGAGTTATTCCTCCAGCCTCTTTCTTTCTCTTCAGCAATGCTTTGGCAGTTCTAGGTCTTTTGTGGCTCCATATAAATTTTATTATGATGTGTTCTAGTTCTGTGAAATATGTCCTGGGTAACTTGATAGGGATTGCATTAAATCTGCATATTTCCTTGGGCAGTGTGACCATTTTAACAATATTGATTCTTCCAATACAAGAGCATGGGATATCTTTCATTTTTTAAAATCTTCTTTAATTTCCTTCATCAATGGTTTATAGTTTTCTGTGTGTAATTCTTTCACTTCCTTGGTTAGATTTATTCCTAGGTATTTTATTACTTGGGGTGCTATTTTAAAGGGGATTGTTTCTTTACTTTGTTTTCTGTTGATTCATCGTTAGTGTAAAGAAATGCAACCATTTATTGGTTGATGAACACTTGGGTTCCTTCGACATTTTAGCTGTTGTGAGTAATGCTGCTAGGAACATAGGTCTACAAAAAAATCTTTGAGGCCCTGATTTCATGTATATATGATATATACCTCGAAGTGGAATTGCTGGATCATGTGGCACGTCTAGTTTTAATTTTTTGAGGAACTGCCGTATTGTTTTCCATCGTGGCTGCACTGGAGTCCAGTCCCACCCGCAGTGCAGAAGGGTTCCAGTTTCTCAGGATCCTCATCAAACTTGCTATTTTCTGTTTTTTGATAGTTGCTCTCTTAATGGATGTAAAGGGTATCTCATTGTAGTTTTATTTGCATTTTCTAATGATTAGTAATGCTGAGCATCTTTTCATGTGCTTTTTGATCTTTTGTGTGTTTTTTTGGGGGAAATGTCTATTAAAGTTCTTTGCTCAGTGTTGAATTTTTGCTGTTGTTGAGTTTTAGGAGTTCTCTGTATATTCTAGATTTTAACCCCTTATTGGATATCTTACTTGCAGATATTGTCTTCCAGTCTGTGTGTTGCCTTCTTACTCTGGATTTTGTCTTTTGATGCAAAAAATTGAAACATTTTCATGAACCCAATTTCCCTATTTTTTTTTCTTTTGTTACCTGTGTCTTTGGTGTCATATCCAAGAAGTCATTGCCAGATGTAATGCCGTGAAGATTTTGTCCTATGTTTTCTGCTAAGGGGCTTATTATTTGAGATCTTACATTTAGGTCCCTGATCTATTTTGAGTTAA